CCTTGGGATGATCCCGGGAAGCATCTCGCGTATACATGATACAGGCGAGCATAAATATCTGGCGAATATCGCTAGATAGTCGCGATCCAGAGAAGGCGACGGGTTAAATGACTTTCTTAATTAAATTACTATCCCACATAGTTAGATGGTGCACGCAGATATCCATACACTAAAGCCGATTAATTCACTCGGTAAATGCAGCTTTCAAAACTGGTCCATATTCCTTCTTAATACACAAGACACTAGGTTCGAAACGCGTTAACGCACTCCTGTAATGGGATGCTCATTAGATAAGAAGATACACTCACGGTTATATATTGGTAATGCAATAAGGAAGATTGAGCATAGAATATAATAAATAAATTCACGAGGTCCCATCGTCGGCCTGGGGTGATTTCAATGATCAGCAAGAACCAGCATCCTCGCGTCTTGGTACCACGACGCGGCAGTTGTAGGCGCGCATAAATATCTATAAATATGGCGCGGGCAGATCTACGTAAGGTTGCATATTAAATTACTTTCTTAAGCAGCGCGGCTGGCATATCGAGTCAGCGCGTTGATTAAATGCATCCAGTCGACTGCGTACAATAAGAGGTCTCTTACGGGGGCCTCTGTGATGTTCATGGGTGTTCACGGACACTGTTCACTCCGGCGGGCAATGGTGGTCGCTGTAAACCCGATGCTAATTATTCTAGTCCGTGTGAGCAATTTGTCGGCTACGGGAACGTATATTTAATACCGTAGAGCTTCTGGCCCCCTGGGTATTTACATCTGTGGCGAATACGCATAGGAACTCTGGATACCACGGGTTGCGAGAGAGATACCATAGGATTATAGTGCTTGAACCGACTTCTATTACATACCCCCTGAGGTTATGGGGTATCCTATTCGCGGGATCGAAAAAGAGAGCAACGTGATAGGAAGATTCCCCTCGAATCCAGAATGTCTACGTATACCCTTATTGGGATAAATTTTCTTTTTAACGTTTCTTCAAAATTCCTCAGAATCTTTTAACTCCGTCGAAATGCGATCCAACTAATATCCACTTGCAGGACGAGACAACATTTTTTTTCTATGCTCCATATATACCGTACAGTACGTTGTTGCTCTTGTGGCAAGTATCTAACGTTTACTTGGTAATACACGTGATAAAACATCCAAGAAGCGGGAATGGCTTCTTGTCGTTACACAATCCAGCCGCACCTTCGATGTTCGACATAATAATTCATTTACCAAACGCTGAATAACTCGATGTTACCATGGCGTGGATATACTCCGTCAATATATGTATGTGCATATCAGTGGTGTATGGTAAGCCGAAGAAAAAGTGACGCCGGTATACATACCGATAACGTTAGTCGCAATTCGAAACCGGTCGGGCGTTACCATGACGTCGAGATCGGTTTTCGTGGTAGAAACGTGTAGAGATAGTAAATAAAGTATTAATGAGAAAAGAAATACCTCGGTCAAAATGAACGAGAAAAAAAACATAAAGCCGATACCGATCAACCGATCAAGTATCCTTGATAAATGGATTGAACGTTTGTCTACGGAGAAAAAAACTAAGATTCGCGAAGGAGCAAATCAATTATTAAAAGCATCGTCACTTAAGCTCTTGAGAATAATTCAAGAGGAGGAAAAGAACATTATGATATGTGCATTCGAAGCGAAGGTTACTTATTTATAGGGCTTCTAACTGGAACGATCTTGAATACACGTGACGTCGAGATATCGAAGATTAAGCTTAATTATTCTACCGAGCATAATAAGAAAGAACGCCGTCTCGAGTCTCGTGGTGTATATAAGGTAAAGAAAGAAAAAGAAATCCTGCCGCCTTCGAGACTTCGACAACTCGAGACTCGAATACCTCGATGCTGCAGGAGCAAGACAGCCTCTATGCTACGACCTTCGCTAGATCGATCCACGTTCTGCGACTCGTTGATGCTCGCTACATGCCAGGAATAGCTTGCCATCTAGCAAGCCAAGTCGTAACTGAGAATGATGACACGTTGGAGATCGTACGAGCTCATAGCTGTAAGACGTAAAGAGTGTAGTAAGGTATATATATATATGAGAGCTTGAGAATATGGCCGATAGAGTCTGGACTGAGGGTGCCTTGGTACTTGGAGGCAAAGTGGGCGAAATAGCGATCGAGTGGCTATGGAATAAGGAGATATCGTTAGTTCGTCTCTCGTCTTAGTAAGGACTTGGGTGGAACTAGAGAGTCTATTCCACGACCCGCCTCAACCTGACTACGACCGATCGTAAACTCGACTCTCGCGCAGCTCGTCGAGGCTGAACTTTCGATTTCGCGGTCCGGCACTCGCGCCTTCTCCGGTTCGTTTCTCTTTCTATGGATGTTCCTTCACCTTAGAACTCTTCTCCCTTTACTCTTATTCTTCCTCCTCCTCTTACTCCGCGCTCGCGCGCTCATAAGATTTATGCAAATCTGGACAAGCGCGCCAGAACGCTCTCCTGTGCACGCGGCTTAGGCTTTGTGCCCGCTTGCGCACTTCGCCCGGCTGCGCTCTGAAATACGTACTGCCACGTATTTCTGGCTGTAAATCACAGGGTTATGCATTGGAGGTAGCGCGGGTTCACTTCCGCCCGACAACGCTCAACATTTCAGCATTATTTTCACCCACGAGTGAACCCGAGAGAGATTCCTTCCTTAAGTCGCTCTTTTGACTTGGATGCAAAAGCGCTATTACGCGCGTACAGGCAGCTTCTCGTTTTATTGGTAAGACTTATATATGCGTGGGACAAATTTTATTATATATCGTTTTACCATTTTCTTTTTGGCATTCGAGTAAATGCTCGAGTGTCGGAACCTGTATACCGGGTAGGACCATTCCATATGCCATTATTACAGTTCCAGAAAATAAATTCAAGGGAATCTCGGTGTCTTGTATATACCTTCTTATGATGACGGGTTTTAACCGCGCTTTAACAGCGTATCTCAACAGCCACTATAAAGATAGGCTTTTTACAAGGAGCCCAGGTCCGAGCACATAAACTTAGTCCCCAGCGCACCTGATAGACAACTCCAAGGCTAGGTGTAGTGATAATACGCGCAGCGTGGAAGAAACGGGTTGACGCTGGAGGGGATGCTGAAGATGAAACCGAAGAAAGATCCATTATTGTTTACGAGTAGGCAACTAGGAAACTGGAAAGTTCCTGCCAGACACAACAGGCTGCAGCGTCTGTCAGGGTGGAAATGTAAACATAAAAAAAAAGAATAAATACCGGAATTACGTATATAGCCAAGCATGCTAATTTTCTGAATTCCCTATGACCTCGTACGGTAGCAATAAGATTTCGTCACTCTTATCGGATTCGATATTAAATTTCAAAATTTCGTCATTTTCAAATCAACGTTATCTCAACCTATGCGGCTTGATAGCTGCAGTGCCTATATAATTTATAATTCACTCCTTTTCATTCACAGCTATCACATAAGGTTATGCTAATACGATTTGTATTTTATCTCTAACCATATGTCACTGACCACCTACCACTGGCCAGACTGAATAATAGACAGGCGACCTCGCGATCGTTACACTGGGGTACCTCAAGGTATACATACCGATACACGTGTAGGTACTCCTGTTACTGTAAAGGTATTTAAATATACCGACAGTGAGACAATATTATATTATAATTCACAACACGCTCTCGCGGTATTACCTCATGCTTTCCTATAACTATTTATAGAGCGACGCTTGGGCGCAGTTTAGTCACTCTAGGCGCTTAGGACTCAAGACAATCGTGTCTCTAAATGATTTCAATTTATTGGGTGGAACAAATATTTGTTTAAAGCGACACTCGTCAATTTTAATCTGGTACACGCAACTTTTAATAGGAATTGTCTTTCGCTCTGGTTAAAACTTGTCGTAATATATTTCTGTGCTCAGTCGTTGATAATTCTAGTGTAAATTGGCGCCACGAGTGGGCGAGACAATTGAATAGGTAAAAGAGCACGGGGACGCATTGTCAGTTTTGGAATACTCGATTTGTTACCATTAACATTTTTATCGAGTACAGCTTCCTTTAGGAGATTTCGCAAGATTTCATCCCCACGCGTAAGTTTCTCGAATACCTTACAATAGCTATTAACAAGGCACTCTTCATTGTTGAAACCTCCGTTACCACCCACAATCATCTGTTACTTTCATTATGTAGAATTGACTTATATCACCCGATGCGCCTGCTATATCGTTACTCTAAAGTTAACATAGTAAAGTGTATCTAGTAGGACGGTGACTGGCAGTGTACTAATGCGTTAGAAAAACTAGTCAACAGCTGTCATTAATGTATTAACTACCGTAGGTAGAGCGATGAATATTTTCATCCAGCGTGAAGTTATAAAAAAGCACATGCTAGTATATGCATGGTTAAGAAAACGTAACGAAGGAATAGAATCTCATCTTACATTTTGAAACTATTACGAATCGATTCGGTACTCATTTGGTCCATCGGCACCCTTCGTGATAAAATGATCTCCATTGGATGCTGAGTAACTGTACCTACCTACCAGCAGCAGGCAAGCCGCAGGCGGGACAGTTACAGATGAATGGGGCTAGTCCCCCTGGTCTTGTAAAAACAAAAGAGAAAAAGAGAAGAAGAAAACCTCATACCGTAGAAGGATTATTTATTAACGGTTCATTTTGCGACCAATCTGCTGCCACACGCTTAACGTTATGCAATCAGCCGCTATTTCGCCGGCGATCGAATAGTTTGATAAGATTGGCCGAATCGATCGATCATCGCGATCAAGGTGGTATTGTGATGTACGGGTATCACCATTGGTCAATTTCACAATAGCGATTCTATTCATTTGGACAGTGTTGAATCATCGTCGGCATCACGGTACTGTCGAGCTACTCATTGTGAATGGTAATTTCAATCTGAAGCTGAATAACTATCGTTCCTTGATTGCTAATATTTTTTATTTATAATTTTTAATTAAGTCATTTAAATATTTTTATATATTCACTCACCAGGATATCCTTCGGGGATGACTATTTCCGGTCCAACTTTGACGTCGTGCCGATAACGATGCATCAACAGGGTTGCTGTTACTCTGAGTGATCTTTGTTGCTGCTTATACAGGAGAATCGGTCTTCCACCAGCACCCTCTACTCTCACTACCCTTGGTAAGGAGAATCTGTCCAGAAATTCACGTAGGGGTACGAATCCACCCCCGGGACCGGCTGCTTCGGCAGTGGCTTCACGAGAACTTGGTAAAGAGTCATCACCGGTCCCTGTTGCTTCGCCGCTCGAGAGAGTTGAGAATTCACCACTCGATGACATGATGACTTGGGACTCTTCGGGTACTCGAGGGGGTCTTTATCGATTGGCACAGATCCGTGAACCGGTCGCGTACGATTCACATTCTCGTCGCGTGAACCAGCGAGTTCCCCAAAACTCGATTTCACTCGAAGCCTTTCTTTTTCAACCCTGAAAACACGTTTTACGACGTGACATAATAATCACCGAGTTTGACTCTGACATTCTTTTCACCTGATAAGAATTTCCTCTTTCTTACTCTTTGCTCTCAGATAAGCATTGTACGCACGGAAGATTCACGGTTTCCGTGGTTTTAAAGATTCTCAAGGTTTTCTTCCCAAAATATACTACGTAAATGTACCTTGAACCTAGCTTTGAATTACGTTTCTCTAAAAAAAAAAGAAGTAGAATGCTTAAGTAAAATCGTTATTTCATAAAGACGTCGGCCTTGAGTGTCGTTGACCGAGACAGAAAAAGGTTTTAAGATTTACAATTTTTTTTAATTCTATTAACGGATACTAAAATTTGATGATTATGATAAATACAAAATGAATGAATAATAAATTATTTGTCATAGCATTCGTTTTTTTTTACAGTTTTAGCACCTCGGGCTTTCGTACGATCCTACAGTGTGCACGTGCAGGAAATTCCATATCGGTTTAACAAATGCACTAGTATTCAGCAGCACGGATGCAATTCTACCGAGTGACTTGCACCTATAATACCTCGCAGTCGCGCCTTTATCGTACGACACGGATGTTGCATACGAATGACGAAAATTAATATTCCACATATGTAAGTTATGATGCGTGACATGTGTAGGGGACGCCGCGTATTATCTACGCTCTTAGCCATGAATACTCATGAGAAGAAAATGCATCGGGGAACAAATTTCTTTGCAAGAGCTACCGGTATTCTCACCTTGCACACTCACTTGCAATGGACTGCAACGCGGTACAGTGTTCGATAAATCATTAGAAGTCCCCTAGGAATTGCATGCGGCAATATTGGCATAGGAGCCTTGACAGATTTCTACAAGTCTTGTAACACGAAACACCTACCATTGGAGTTTGCAGTTACTGGTGATTAAATACTTTTAAAAATTTTGCATAATTTTGCAGAATCAACTACAATACCGAATAAAAATTTCTGACGTCCAAAAATATTTATCGCAAATTTTTTACAAAATTGCAATAGCGTCATATTTATATACCAAATACAGAAACCACTATAAGATACTCGTATATTTATCTGTGTAGATTTTCTATGGTGTTCCTATAGAGCTTACAAGCTTTCCTGTTTGTAGTTCATACCGTGACAATTCCATTGTTCCTTCAGAGCATTTTTTTATTTTTCAAAATTTTGTATGCAACCCTCGATACTTTCAATCTGTATTTTGTATTCTGGTCAACGTTATCCCAGCATCAATGTATACGATGTTCCTTTCAATATATGTATACGCATACTTGCGCACTAATTTTTTTCCCCCGTATACTTCGTCATTCGTTAGCTCGGTAACTATACGTCAAGGTTATCGTCTTCATGGAATTACGATTTCACTCCTGAGAGAAGATCTTTCCAGACTTGTTTCTCGTCCTGGTCCATAAAGGCTCTAATGTAAAATTCCTCAGCTATTTGTATATTAGCAGTATTCAGCTGTATCAGGGCGTTCAGCATAGCCAGTTTTTTATCAAGTCTCAGTAAAAAAAAAAATGTCAAAAACTTTTGGAATAGGATGGGATTTTTGTATTACAACTTCATTTATCCTGCAAGACACGTGTACTCATGTTTTACATATGTAAATACATAAGTTAAGTATATACCGGTTAAGGGTTAAATCCCACAAGTCCTTTTCATTCTGTCGAGTGGTATACAATTAATCATTGCTTGCTCGAGTAATTTAAAGCTCAAGATCTTACGGCACTTCACTTCAATCGCGAATTATAATTTGCTACTATTAATCATCCCTTGAGTCAGCTGATTGGATAGAGTGCTGATTCAATGTCCCTAGTCATGTTAACGATAATGTGGCCATGTTTTATAGTATTCAAAAAGATTTTTTTTTTTTAAATTAATTTTCTCACTCTATATATGTGTATATGTAAAAATATGTATTAAATTTTGTTGTGCCTAAATCACTGCATAAACTTTTTTCAAACGTGACGAGTAATTGTAAAGCAGCGACGTGGGCCAAGGTATAAAAATATAATAGCAGTAGCAGAAATCCATTAGTTTTTCGAGTCTGGTGTAAAACCGCAAGTGAGCGTGACTAATTTGCATGACTGCCTTTATGTATTTTTAAGAAAATTCAAAGAGTGATACAAGAGAGTCACGTTTACAAATTCAATACAGTAATATGCTTTCCCCTTCCATGGACCAGGAATAAAATAAATTAAAACGATGATTGAAAATGCATTAGCTTGTTTCAAGTGAATAAAAAATTACTATTGTTCACACTATTAAATTTCTGATTTGGCATTCGAATTTTTCAATGATTCATTCGATTCGAATTAATCGACCCGTGGTAATATTTATCGATCAACGTAGAGACTTACAATTTTTAATTTCATCCAAGAGGTTCTCGTTTGTTTCCTTTTTCTTTTAAATTAAAACTCAAAAAGCACCAAATATCATTAATCCTCTTCCAATCTAATCGCTGTATCCTTCGACGTGTAAAAACTAGAACATTTCCCGAATCGGAATCATCGAGTAAACTTCTTTATGTGATTATAGTCCTTTGTTATTAACACCAAAATTTTTCCCACGTGCAATACCACGATCGGTCACGATCCTAACGCGATCTTACGGGTTCTGGAAAGCGCCACGGAAAACCGAGCGCGACAGGCGTCTCGACGCTCCGAACGAGATCGTGCGACTGAGCATACAAACTGCAGGGACGCGCGTCTACGTCGAACTCTCCCACTTCCCAACTGAAACCAAGTATATTACACATTCTCCATACTTGACAGGTTCGCCAGATCTTTAACTTTTAATAACTCTTATTGACCCTTTATAAAAATAAAAGATAATTCACGCTATCTTAAATATCAAATTAAACCAAGTATCCTTTCCTTTTCCGTATCACACCGTGTCACTATCTAGATACAAAATCATCTAAAATTGTATCTTTTATCATTTAACTAAGCATTAAACGCTCCTCGTTTTATATTCTAGCCTAGGTAACACGTCGATAGTCACAGATTCTTCGCTTTCGCTGAATCCTCCTCTCTCCTGATTTTATTCACCATCCACAGCTGATCCTTTCTCTCACGTATACTCCTCCTTAGTTCGGTTTTTCCCACGGAATGGCGCAATCGAACGAAAGGAGTAAAATGGATGGCAAACTAGTTGGTGAGTTCGTCGAAATGCCAGTGACGCCATTTTTCCTAGTAACGCAACCTTGATCGGTAACGATTAGTACGAGGAACTTATAGACAAACCAGTAGAATTCGTCGTGAGCTTGCTTGGCACTACTTGGCACGCGTTACGGCAAATCTGTCCAAGTATATTGCCCAAGAGTTTTCCACCGTCATTATTATACATACTGTGGTCTTGTGCATGGAGTAGGACACTTATGGTCCGTATCAACCATATGTTGGATGCTGCGGCATATGCCGCGCTACTTACTGCGGATAGTCTCGACCGGCTAGATATCCGTGAGGGTCCTCATCTTAGTATCCGCTGTTTAGATGGAAAAGTGGAAAATACATTGGTTCGACCCAGACTGATAAATAATATATGTTATTATTTACATAGTATGAAATGTTGCAACAATATATAAAAAATTCTTGAAACTGTCTTAACGTTTGACTACTTAATTTTACTGTCAGATAGGTAGGTACTGTACTTTCACATTCCTCGGGTCTAAGCGGCATCCAATAATTAGGCTGGAACGTGAGAATATTAATGTCTGTGTTCAGGTTATGTTGCACGAGTGTCATTGTCTCGGTAATTGTACCTCTTAGAGTGATTATCAACGGGGATGATGATTACGAGGAAGAACCCTGCGCCATTGTACTAGGATCCTGCAGTTTCGTTACCTTGTGCCAGGTCAGGGATCAATGCGTCTCGTTTCGGTTTCGCGCTAATCACTCTTGCATTTCCACATTTTCTTGTTTAGCAAGTTTAACTGCCGTGAAATGGATATCACCACTAGTTCTATATGACACCTCATTAATTCATTGAATAAATTACAGGGGATCTTTATATCCGCCAATTTCATCAAAAGACAACCGTTGACGGTTAGCAGGACGTACCTGGATAGACATATACGTATGATATAAGGTGACCTAGAATTTTTGGTGCAATTATCATAAATTTTACACGTTAATAAAGCGGCTTGCGAATGAGGTCAATTCGTCACTGGGAACAGAAATGGCTCATGCAAAATTTGTAATATAAAAATTTTATTACAGAAATAAACTTTTTAGCGCAGCGAATAATTAGATGAATTTCTTTTTATAGTTTATGACGACGCTATTAATTTTTTTTTCGTCCCCAAGAGACAGTCAAGTCTATTGATTCTATACGGAAGTATCCTCCAGGCTGGCAGGCACTTCGACCTTCCATAGGTCATCGGCTTTACTCTTGAGACAGGCTTGTATGCGTACAGTATGGCTCCTGGTTAAGTCAAGAATAAGAGGAAGAGGTTAGAATGAGTCCTCCGTGTGTGAAATACAAGAGTGGAAGAACACAACGTCACGGAAAGTAGTAAAACGGTTCCATCATCATCATCATCATCTTCCGCGTACATGGGTCGTCATTAGACCACTGTATAATCATTAATTATTACAAATGATACACTATTTGCCCTATCGATATACTATTATATATATTACACGTAGAAATTTCCACGTAAGCACATACCGTTCCAACGTACTGTATATAGATATACCGTATTATCCACACGTGCAAATACAAAAACGTCTCTTTCTTATTTTACAGTTTCGTTCGACAACAGTTAATACAGAAGAATTAATCCTGCCGTTAAGTAATAATTGTGTCTATTATTTACAACCAAAAACTCTGTCTTTCCATCCAGTCTACGTTTACAGCGATAGAAGATATTTTTTTTTACTAGCAATGCGCATCGATCCAGCATTTGAAATGCCCGAAGTCACGCAAAATCACCAGTCCGAGTTTTCTTTATCCAGATCGTTGTAGAACGGTTAAAAATGTTCCTTGACAAAAATAAGAAAACCACCTCGTACCCATCGTTAGGACATGGCTGTTCTTCAATAACTAAAAAACTTAACTCCTTGAACAAGCAAAGTACCTGCACCCTTACCAACCTGAGAATACTGTTTACCCGCATTCCACGCATTCTCGCATTACTTAAATCCTCGAGTCTTCACCGTCACAAAAAAGATCTTCACTCGCGGTTAACTTAGCCAGCCTGTTAACTGCAAGAAACGAAAAAAGCATTAACGATCACGGTTTCCCATCGACGGGTCAATCCGTCATATATAAAAAGTATTAATTTCCATTTGGAATGTGCTTACGTCACACATTAAAGAGTACACACAGTCATATAGATATCTCAGATGCAACAGGGTTAACCAGTACACCGCATTGCTGCAGCAACAGCAGCAACAACAGTGCATGAGTTAATCCGAGGCCGAGCGAGTGCACACAAGACACTGGCATACATAAAACATTGCTACCAACGCGGCAGGGCTGACAATGCCGCATCTCATAAAATCTCGTTCCGCGAAACGGCATTTCGCAACGACACAGTAGCGAACCTGCCGGCAATTTCGCTTTCGTCTGCAATATAACCCGGCAACGCGCGCTGTGTGTCTCGGCTGCCCGAAGTTCACTTGTATACATATTACTATACCTACCGCGCATGTTACATTGCTTGGAAAGTTACGAGCCGCTCGTTTTAAAGTGCCAAAGCCTACACGCACAGTGCACTTTTTAAAGGCACTTCTTATGGACGTATGCAATTGCTGTATATATATTATATACGCTACGCGTAGCACGTAGAGTGCTGCTTGAGCTCTCTGCCGCCTCTCTTGTGCTTCCTTTTATTTTTGTTTAATATTATTCTCTCGCCATTCCTTTCTCCCCTTTTCTCTTGCATGATTGAGGTCCGAACTCGCGACCTCGTGCCCACTTAACCCGCGGGGATGCGAATATGAGAGAATACGCTCATGAAGTGGGTGTACACGTCAGGCATGAAGTGGAAGATCTATCGTACGCGAAGCTCGATCGATCTTCGTAAGGTTTCTTAGCAAATATCCAGTCTGTATGTATAACGTGTGCGAACATGAGACCCAAGACGTATATGATGATTTTTCATCTTCGAATATTTATCAGATTGATGTCATCTGCTCGGGACGTATGATGAATAATAAAAATCAATTTTTGTATCTTATACAAGATACGAATAAATTTATTCGCAAGAGACACGGGTACACGTTGATGGTTTCGTTTTACAAGAAGCTGTGACTCGGTTTGGTCCATGCCAATGTACTTGTCGAAATTTTAATATACTTTTTTCTTCAAGTACCAATATGGAAGTGTAATTTACCGTCTCGTGTAATTGTCTTCGTTTTTGGTCCCCTACGCCTTGGTCCTTCGTTTTTCCTTTATTCTTTTCTCCTAACCGTATATACGTACCACCATGAGAATATTAGTCAACGTTAAAATACGAGAGTCACCTTGCTCCTCTTATACGTTCATAAATATTAAACTCTCCATTTCGCTGGGACGTGTTCAGGCGATCTTGGGTTCAATGTTGTTGAGCAATCGATGATGCATCCAGTACACATCTCGCATGCATCTGACCATGCATGTCCATATGTGCCTGGACCACGCGCACTTTGTCCGTACTTAATCGTTTATCATTTTAAAATGCGGCTTTATTCGGACCGAAAATCTCATGCCAATAATTTCGTAAGATTAGCGAAATTTCATCTCGGCAGCGATTATCAAAAATTACAATGATCGGTATAATAATTAAATAATTAATCAACAGTCATTTTATTTTTATAATCTAACCTATCGTGATGGTAACTCGTATCGACGATGCTGCACTCTATGTCAGGCCTATGCTACCACGTTGTCATAGCATCGATCGACAATTACATGCCCGCTGACACCCTTGTAATAGAATGTCTATGTTCCGCGTGCCCGGCGTGTCTCGTAACCAGAAGACCGTGCAATCAGTTTCTGATCGACAGGATATGCACGCACGTATGACTGCACGCGTAGAGCGTACACAGACGGGAGCGTGAGTACGTGCGGACATACCGAATTATGCGTATCCGTGTCAGGGGAGTCGTTAACTTATAGTAATTCCGTGTGCCGCGAGACAAGACGTAAAAATTTTGATGGAATTTTAAAATTATTAGACAGACTTAAATTATTGTTATTTTATTTTGAAACAATAGGTGGTTTACTCGATTCGATATGTCGCTTGAACGTATAGGGATATTTTATAGGTTAGAACGAATTTATTACAGGGCACTTATTAACGTTACCAGAAAATCGATACCAAGGGTCGGCAAGCTTTGTATATAGTACTTTATGAATTTGTTATTAGGCTTGCGTGTCGTTTTATTAATAGAGATTGTTATTATTATTTTAAACCAATCACATGAAATCGGTTGGGCTCTTCCGCGTGCATGAACATTTGACACGCGTTACTTCTGGTTATCTTTAGTGAACACGTGGAGTATGCCTCGTTACTATAATACGAGTACCTTACTAATTATCTCTTCTATTAACCCCTGTGACACGTGAAGCACTGAACGATGCACTTATAGGGTTCCGCGCGAATCTTTATGGCATAACGTATCACGGGTAAGGATAGTTGAGAATACGAGATAAAAAAAATGCTAAGAAAATAACTCGTCATCGTCAATATGAGAAAACCGAATTTACTTTGGAAAGTTTAGCTTGTGCTATTACGTAGAATTTTTATTTAACATGAAATCATGTATCGGCCCGTCTTCCACGTATGTGAAATCATTGGAATTCGACGCTGTACGTGGAATTGAAAATTTGCCGTTATATTGTGATTAAAAAGAAATGAATGCCAAAATCCGTGACTTCTTTTTAAAGACTCAGCATCAGCAGTTCGCAAAAGTACTTGGTATAATCAAATAGTGACTATAGCTCTGGAACGCCGTTACGCCAGTCAGTGATGTAATAATGGCTTATGACAGTAAACCCAGATTACTATTACAGATACCGGGGCAAAAAGCCATCAAGTTACAATATACATAGCTACGTTTATCTACATATTTGGCTATGCAGAGATAGAAACTCTTGAACAAGGCACTGTTGGGTTCATTGAACCCATTTTGCTGTCTCCAGTGTGGGGTAAGTAAAAAAAAAAAATGAGAAAAAAGGATAATAGCTTTAAAGGGTAACGTCCTTAGCGAGGATAGATTGTGCTTTTGATTAATTACAAGCACCCGAGACAAGAGGGAAGGATCTAAGGATAATTAACGTTAATTTTATCCCCATTGTCCAAAAGTCAATTTTGTATTGTTTTCGAAAAATTCTTAGTATTTTTTTGAAAATTACGTTTCAGCATATTTATCGTCTTCGTATAATGGTGTATATGACGTGTATGAATTACGAGCACTTATGACAGTGGATGCTCGTGGAATTTAGTATATCGTTTTAACGTTAGTTCAAATTGAATCAAATTTCACCTTACAATCCAATCCAACCTAACCTAACTTTCTCTTGCTTAACGTGCACCATTATTATAATCGTTAATTTACGTAGCAAGACCGTACGTTTTAACGCATCGTAAGCATCATTATAACCTCGCTTCCGGACTTTTCTCTGAATCAATTCAAAACATGTTGCGGAAAACCGTATTAACGTCCATTAATGGTGCCATATGGACGCATAAAGGAAATTACCGAGAGGTTATGAATTTCCTCTTGATACACCATCAGCCCATTTCAAATCCATTAAAATAATCCCACCAGGAAATCACTGCTAGTAAATTCCCCAGTTATATACGTCTAATCGACACAGATGATTTTCACAGTTTAACGATAAACAATTCCATTCTCACTTTTAAATAAATTCCGACACACGCGAATTGCTCGACCGTTACAAATGGACACTAAATAAGAATAAAATTCTTACGTAAATATCTACACGCGACCTATGCACTGCGTACAGTAATTCCCTAGCGCAATCGCACTGCTTTGCTTTCTCCGGCAGATTTAAGACGACGCGCGTTCCGTTTCCTCAGGACGCTAAACTTCCTTTACAAAAACTTTTAAACATCCTGATTACGTCGACAGACCGTAAACAATTGAATTCGTCGCGCCGAAGTTTTTATAAAGACATCAGAAAAGTACCTACGTAATATACACGTATATAGACATACATACAGAAAGAAATAATTCATCATTCATTCGGAGATTGAATGATCACGTAAAATTTCAGATTTACGTAACGATAAATCCTAGACACGTTTCGAGTAAACATTTAAGAAAAGAAGTAAGAGAGAGACAAGGGAAAGCAAAAGATTAAACAGGCAAAGAACGAAGATGCGAATTTATTGCGTCGTGATTGGCTATTCGGATCGTACAGGATTGAGCGGTTTCTTTTGACGGCTCGTGAAAGACATCCGGAGTCTGTTCATCGAATATCGGATGCTGTATGGACCTATCTTCTCTCTATCGATTCTGATATAATATGTATATGCATGAGGAAATTAGTAAATATTCTAACCTTAACACGTGTGAGTGTTTCTCGTGTCGAGGTTGGGTGAGGCTTTTAAATCCTCAGCGACGAGGCTTAAATCAATCACCGTAATTAACGCGCTCTTTGTACCGCTAGAATTCAGATTAGAATGTTCTTGCTGCTTGCTTCGGTTCAGCACTCTACAGTATGTGCAACCTAACTATAGTTATTATTATTCACAATTAATTTTCACCGTCGCTGCATTCTCGATTCCTTATATTCACTTGTAGCAACTGTTTTGTTGAATTGAAATTTTTTGAATGATTAACATGGTTATACAATTTTGTCTTAAAAATTTTTTTTTTAAAATTGAATAAATTTTTGAGACAGAGCAATCGGGGGTATGTTCCAGAATTTTACTCTTGGACGCCTATCGGTAAGCACAGATGGAACTATACTATAGTGTACAAGAGTAGATTTCGATAAACGTCCTAGGATGTAAAATTAAAGTATACTTTCTGCTAGTGATTTTGTTTAGATGCAGTTTAGATATTGACACTTTTCAGGAAACAGAAAGTCTCATCTCGTTCAATGGCACTTTATTGCCTTTTGGCATAACTGTAATCCACTGTCCATTCTCAGGATGCATAAACCGTAACGGTACTTGACTACTTGACAAGCCTATCAAATTGCACGCCTATTTGCCATTCTCATTACACGCATCACAATGGTGATGCAATGATATCTATCATTACGCACTACGAAAGTTGAACTACGAGTTGAAACACAGTAGGGACTGTTAGGGACTTACACGTTTATAGTATACTAAGTCATTTTAAAGCTGTATTCATATGTATATTTAACATCAGATCGCTAAACATAGCATTAATCAGCACTAACGTTGGCAATAATAGAAGATTATCGAGTATGCTTAAACCATGTCGGATGTTAACCAACTTTGTTACAAAGCACAATCTTAAATGCTTATTGAACATCCTTTGTTTGCAATTACCCATAAGATTAAGAAACCCTTAAAACAGTCTAGTAGAAACCCTATATTGAGAATGAAAATCCTGAATAGGATTTCCATGGCCATGTACACCTAGTACTAAGGACGTGGTTTGGCCTATGGCTGGAAATGAGTTTCCATAGTCAGAAAGTGAGTTCTTTATCTGTGATTTAGTGACCTTCTCCATATATTCCTGCTTGAGTACGTACGTGTACATGGTCTTGAACGGCACCAGTTGTTCGGCTTCGCAAAACAAGTGGTCTAGCCAGTCGAGCAAATTACCCACACTTATTCCCATAGGAGGTAAGACGTCTTCATCTGGCACAGGCCGATCCAGTCTACGGTCCTTGGTCCTGACTCTATGGTGTCCCGTTGCAAATGATTTTTCTCTCCTCACGCTCGATCGACGATCGATAATTATCGTCGGCTCCATGGTCGGCCGCAAGACTCTATCTCCCGAGGATCTTCTTAACGGCTTTCATTTCTTTTTTTTTAACGTTCACTAAGGAAAGTCGTTCGCTATTGGTACCCTTACGGTGCACCATGCTTATTTCTAGTGAAACCATAACCCTTTTATAGACCCATCCTGAAAGTGGACCGATCATGGCACTTGATAATTTTACGGATCAACTCCTATCATCGTAATAGGCGTGACACATAACGACCAAACGAGAAAATTTCACACGTCTTCAAGGTGCACCTAGATCTAGATGCATGGGATAAGTATCTAGTAAAAATAAAAAAATTTATCCGGACAGATGAAACGGTACTAACTTTTGCGCCTTGAGACTATACCTATACCGAAGTTATCTAATGCTCGGAACTTCTAGTCCATTCGTATGCTCGAAGCTAAGGGATGATCAGACGCGATACCTACGTCCGTAGATGCGTACCTGGCAGCGTCACGCTGCTGCACGGTAGATCATTAGAAATCAATAAAAATGATAATGGTCCCGGCCGAAAAATAAAAAGGGCCTATCCGTAATTGGATTGCTCCTCGTGCATGACCTTTATTGTAATTTATCTCCGGGACGGGTACTTAGATATCTGTAGCATCATGGCATCTGCACATGCCAACGTGATACATCATGACTCGCGGGCACCCATGCTACGTACTCTGTGTTCCAATCGTGCAGGGTAATTCGTTCGGTCAAGTTCACGTGTCCGACCACGACACCTGTATTTACCCAGTACTACTCTGTACATAAAATTATTTTTACCCTCCACCTAACATCAGCAAATATTTTCGCATGTAAAGTACCGTTAGTAGGAGTAGCAAAAACATTAAGTATACTCTCCAGGAATTCCATTGATTGAACAGCACTGACTTAAGTTCAGTTGACTTTTTACCAGTGCAAAGAACTTGCGTCCAGTACCGCGTGTCGAGATTTCCAACCGTAGCTTCAGTCTCCTATAAACCGACCCACCCTGCCCTCCCCCCTCCATAAATGGAACATGGGGTTCCATAGCGTAAAGGTCACCAACCGTACAAGCCTGGATGGCTCACGATGCCTAGGTCGTTGTCAGAGCGGTTGTTACCCAAGCTAAGTGGTCTGTCGTTACCCTGGCTAAGTGCTCTATATTCTGCATGTAGTTTCTTCGAACAAGATAATACTCGATACAGGTAACAACAAGGTAACAATTCAAGGCATGGCTCAAGCATGCCACTTACCCTAGTCACTGTCCCACGTCGTTAGGTATGGCAAACTACATCCACTGGACACTCTTCGTTTCGATCGATTTCAATCACATTGACCAAATATTCTTCAAGATGTATTATTTTCTATAATTTCTTAACATGAATGGTTTACTTATGGACACTAATAATCGCTATACAATTATCTTAAAATTTTAACCATGATATTAATTCCACGTTCATTTATAACCCATTCAATTTATAAAATTACGAAATTAAACGTACTCATAAAAAAAAAACATTGAAATAGAACTAATAAATTATACACTAAAGTCAATCTTATAGGAACCGATTATAATTAATATTTCTTATCTGTCTGGATAATGATGACGGTGTCCACCGGTTTAGTCTCCTTATTTGAGTCCTAGTTCGGTTCGTAACGACTCAACAGTTTTATAATATACAGGTGGTTTTACATGGTAGATTTTGTTGTTAAGTGATCGACTTCCTCCAAGCGCTTCGTCAACTTATCATCTGTTATCCAGTTTTATCGTTTTATAAAGAATTTAGGTCCTCATTTAGAAACCCTGTCGCCTAGTAGGAATGTGCATTAAATAAAATTAATAATGGAATATATATATATAAAATATACAACGGAATGTATAATACCTTTGATCGCACTTAGCACACGCCTTGCTTACACGACGGTCAATTGACGAAAGGGAAGAGCACGATAATTGCTATTCCTACCAGGGACTCTTACTTACTGGAGAGGGAAATCTATCGCCGACAACGCTATCTATTGACTTAATCTTAAAGAGTTTGTAACCGCGAGTTTCGTTACAATTCGCAGGGAACTCACTGGGTAAACGCACGTTACAAAGAATACCATGGACAGCTGCGAATAGTTCTGAAATTCTACAACGAACGACTAGAGCATTGTTGAGTAAGACGTGTACCAAAAAACTAAATTTGCCACCATGAAAAAATAACCCAAAGTAATTGGATAGCCGATTGTTCTGAAAGTTACATAATGGTTGCAAGATCAGCATACAATTAAGAGTAATGCTAATGCGCCAGCGTGTGAACTTTCTATGATTCGTTTAAAATGTAAAAAGAAACTAGGTCAACTGTCATTAACCCAGGAGGTGATTATAGTGAAGATGATTATCGTCCCCGTTTACCAGCCAGGCAGTTCCAAAGATGCACCGTTGCACCTTCAGGACTCCTGCATCCCGATGGTCAGTATCGCACGAGAAACTAGAGATGCACCGACGTAATAAGTATGACGTGAGTGAGGAGATCCATGGAGACATTGGAAACATAGGTCCAGGGCCAGAGGCCATCACGTTCCTCTCATTATGCTCCTCGCTCTTCGAAATCCTAACTGTACAATGCACTCACCCCGCCCAAGGGCCACCGGTCGAGTATGTAAGAACGTAGTTGGCTATTTCGTTGCATCTGCTATGGGTATCTATATAGGTGTTCTATAGGTTCGCACAAGACTGGTATATACATATATATATGTATATGCCACGAGCAAAAGAGTCAGAGCCTGGCCCCGGGTTACTCTCTCGGTCGTAGGTACGTGTACCAGAGCACGAGAGCGCCAGGTACCTACCTACTTGAGGTATAAGGTACCCACCTAGAGAAGGATGGGTACCTGATAATGTACAACTATACTGAACAGTGTATATAGGATCGTGCATAGATCTTGTAGTGTATGCACTGTAGTACCTGTATATGGCTCTCGACGACGAGACACGATGATCCACGAATGCTGGATGCATCCTAAGCTAAGTACACAAGCCCGAGGTCTTTTCCTAGAATGCAAGGCTGATTAAGAGCCGATAATGCCCGCAAGGTTGCCTGGATAGGACGAGAGTCACGCCATTTTGAAAGGTGCCATCGACCTGACTTACCTGTACGCCTGGTGCATTACAGTGCACGCCGTGGTATCTGCTACTGAATACTGGACTTTGAGTTCTTTGAAATAAGTGCATATAATATTTCGTTTTGTTAATTCCAGACGATAACTCACTGCCTGTTTATTCCTGGTACCTTGCACCGGTATACATGACTTCTGTACGGCGAGCGATCTTGGGACTCACTTGGCCAAGTTCAAAGCCTGCTGACCGTGGTTCTAATAATAGGTGAACTGTGCTGCCGGCGAATCCTCCTACGATTTATAGGTGCACGATAATAGCGATGGAGGTGAAATCATTGATCGTTTCTATGTACGTGCAGTGTTATTTTTTTTATTTATTTTTTTTCCTCTGGGATAACCGTCGATGTTAGATTTGCAATTAAATTACGTGCTCGGGATATAATTACTTTGTGATTGTATCATGCTCTTATTGCAATTTTGAATTGCGTAATTAATCTATTGCTATATAATTCGAATAGGGCCTTAATAGGAACGGTAGTGATAATCGAGGGTCGGCTGTGCAGTCATGATAATTGATCTTAACTCTCTGGCACCAGATATCGATGACTGTTACGACATTGATATTTGGACAGGTATATGAATCAAAATTATTATTTTTTTCTCCGAGCCAATCACATTTATAGTCCACTCGCATTTTTCGATCGCGAACTTAAGATTAATCGAATTTTATTCGAAGCACGCACTTTCTAGCTCTTGTTATTTATCGTCGAACTGTCTGCGGCGTGGGATTCAAATTGCCACGGTATTTCAGTAATGATCCCCATAATGCACGATGATCGTGCATTATTCTTAGTACCGTACCCGAGCCACTTGCAGTCATTAAGAAAAAAGGTGCCAGGGGCTAGTAGGACTTTGTGCTTAAACGTATTCGCTAGCAGGAAATGTAGGTAACGTGCGAACGGCGCTTAAGGCTGTGCACTGTAAAATATGTAACGAGAAAAATTTCTTCACTCGAACAAATTAACATATCATCATAGCCTAAAGAAACCACCTTGCGCATCTCTTGCGTGCGTTGTGGATTCATATTGAAATTCGACTAAATCAACCAGTCATATTTTTAATGATCTTTTTCTTTACATCGGTGCAAAACCCGTTGGGCCAGGGTCTCGGTCAACCACCGTAACGACCTGGTCAAGTCTGTCGTCTGTCTGGTGTCTTGGTGCGATTGTAAACTTTTTGGAAAAAAAATCACTCGATCAACCTGTTGCATATACCCAAAACCCATTAAGGTGCGTTCACAGTTCGTATAATATAAAATATATTGGATGGAAATCTGCGAAATTAATAGTATATAAAGTTACGTATACGTATTGTAAATAAACCATTTTTATTTTAATACCGGCCGTTCAAATTGTTCTTGCAATTTTTCTTACTTTTTCTTTTAATTTACTCATCGGTAGGTCTGGTAGTCCGATCCAAGCCTAACGCTCGTCTCGGGAGAATCAGAACTTAAATCGGCCCTGACAGGTCCCAGCATACAATGCACACTAAACCGTGCTTGCAAATAATACAAATGAACGTAAAACAAGTCGAGCATTGCCTTATGGAAATTATACGACGGTGTATAATCTTTTTGAGAAATGCCAGCTGAGCTATGCCCCTTGGCGAAGCATACACATTTTTTATTACCCTATGGAAACACTGTGCCGACTTCTTTTTTTCTCCGCCTAAACTCACTGACTAACCACCAAAGTCAGAATATAATTATTTTACAAGTGGCCGACATATCTGGTTATGGTTTCACCGATTTTTTACTGAGTACCACGTAGTGTATGTCCTAGAAAACAATAAAAAGTATTCGTACTAGTTACTCCCATCGATTTCACAACACACGGATTTTTCGGTCGGATTGGAAAATAAGCGAACGCTAAAATTGAGTGTATATGGATAATTGGATAATTAATTACTGTCCCATTTAGATCTATGTAAACTATACTCGTTAACGTGATAATGCTGCAATTTGCTTTTTCTGATATTTTTAGTTCAAATAGGAAGTTGAGAAATTCTCAAGGTGCATGATATATATGTACGTAAACACATGTAGTTTCACGAAATATATTTCCGCGATAGAAAATAAATTCAATCGGCTTGAGAGTCACGCGTTAACAATTCACCTTGAGTCAATTCCGTAAAGTTTCCTTGAGGTTTCGAAATCCGCGTAAATAGTCGTTGGTAAATTGTTGACTGTGAGCGTAAGGATCTTGCTTATCGAGAAATCGAGATTCGATTCGTCTAGTTTTACGTCCGTCACGTATTGTTATACTTTTTTTCTCAGTCAGTGGGATATGCCTAAAAAAAGAAGTCATTAACGCCCAAGCAGCCAAAGTAACTTGAAGGTGATTAAGAATTGAAATTGGCACGTTTATACTACTAAACCCTAATGAATCCATTAGATCGTCCCTGTACTTTCAATGTAAATTAATTTGAAAATGATTCTTGTCTCTGGGCAGACTGAGGTGAGAGCATATATTTAAAAGTACTTGAGTACTCGAATACTTGAAGGCATGGAGCCTGCGAAGAACATAAAATGAAGATTTAATGAACGGCTTTACCTTCGGTATCCTGTTTGGGTCATGGTAATTGGTGTAATTGACTTCATCTTGTCGGAGTCATTTTAGATAGTAAACGACTGATTTTTTTTCGGTATGTTGGTATTGAGAATATATCACGTGCTTTCGGTGGAACTTGAATTCCTTCAGGAATTTATTTAATACTCAACTGAAATATATATTATTTCGAATTTTTTTAAGAAATTTTTTTCAAATTAGTGAAAATAGACATTGTTACCTAAATGGATCCAGTGAAAGTTCATTTTTCAAAATCAGAATATATATATATATGTAAGGAGAATACTAGTGAAATTTAATAGTAGGATAGTTTGGTAAGACCGCCGTGCAAATTCGAGGAAGTTCGACCGTGCCCTCCATGATTATAGTCTTTACGTGATATTAAAATGCAAATTCGAAAGCCCTTTGGCTTCTGGTCGTCGACAGGGTGCAACCACCGCGAAATATCTTTTCTAAAAATTTTACGAAAATCGACTGAGTAAATAGAAAAAAAATGTTTAAAAAATTATTTCCTCTCGACTTTAATTAACGAAATAGTTTCTCCAACGTTTGCAACAGTTTATTTTAATGAAACCTGAAATCAGTGACATCCGACAAACTTTTCTAGATTTTTGTTGTCGCTCGAGCGTAACGAACAACTGACTATTTCTAAAGTAGGTAACTGCTTATCAGAAAAATTTACCATGCATTATCCCGTAATGCAAAATCCTTGTTTTACAAGAATCAGTCATCGTGCAAGAATCGCGGTCATGAGTTTCTGTCGTTTCACTAATCACTAAGCGGAGGTATCAACGAGTAATTGAACATCAGCCTATCGAGAACATTAATACTAAACGCATGTAGTACGTATTCCGTTATTTAAACAAAATTATTTTCAAGCAATGCAATGTGCATATAAAGTAAAATCCCTTTATATTAATAATCCACGAGTTTGTTATTCCATTCTACCACGTTATAATATTTGGACTTATCCCTTAGGCTATTCTTCTAATAACTGATTTTCTTAACGATACCTTGCCCTAAAATAGCATCTCAGTGTGCGTTCTTTTTTTCCTTAGTTCCTAAAAATCACTTATTCATCGTTATTGATAATTCCAAGTTATAATAAGAAAGTACGGTAAAACCAATAATATACCTTCTCGCTAACAATTTAGTTTGTTGACACAGAGTGAAGAGCATTTACTATGATTTTCGTAGAACTTATTGGTAAAATGCCCGGTTTGCCACCAGGAGCGGGACGCGAACCCCGATTCTTTTGGTGGAAGTCTGCGACCATAACCACTGGGCTACGGGTTTTTCATATATGTTTAAAAAAACTTATAAAACTATATTTCGCAACTGAGTTGACAATCAATCATTTATGAAAGATGACGACACGCGTGTGAAAAAGTAGCTACCTCGTTACGTAAAGATATGAAATATGATTACGTACACAGACTACTACAGTCTGATTATAGAATATCAAATTTCGAAGATTGTAAAATATCACTAAAGAGAATCCTGATTCAAAAGATGTCCAAGGTACGTGCAAACCTATGTATATATATATACGGTTCACGTTTCTTCATTGTGGTATCGCGATCATCTGCGTTTTATCCAACATTCTATTCAAAGTTAACCAAGGAATGCAGCTGCATCTGTAACTCATAACCGGAGGTGAAAGAGAGACAGAGATACAAGAAGAAAACTCAGGATGGGAGTCCGGTACGTATGTGAACGAGAATGGAATTATCACTACAAAGACGGCCATTATGGTGAACCGTATGACGCCGTAGGTTGTGCGTAGTTACACAGCTCGCGGCCAGTTTTCTCATTCTCGGTTTCCTCGACACATCCTTGGACGCCATTCAAATGCAAAGTCCTTCGTAAAATGCGCGAAGCATCGCTGCCCGATAAACGTTCCCAAGTACCGTGCTTGTGGGAAAGGTTTTATGACTTTTGGTACGAGCCCTAGGATCTCTCGTTTGGTCGCGACAGCTCGTGAGAGAAGAGAGTGAAAGAGGGAGGACGAAGGGGAGAAAAATGAGAGAAAGAGAGAGACAGAGTAAAAAGAAATATGGAACGAAACGTTGGGAAGCTAAGAGAAACCAATACTGGAGTCCAAGATATATATTTTTTCTATTAAACTTTTTTTTCACTATAAACCTGATCTTGATCCAGAATGTCTTCGGTACTTCGGAATCGATCTTGGATTTACGAATTTTCCATGAGATCCATATAGATAAATTTTTAATACCTTATTGATCCAGGTTCGATCTCTCGACCGAATAACGGTCGAGATAAATAGTCTCGCTACGGAAACTGGTTCCATTTCGCAATGAGCGGATCAGAGATCGCGCCAAGCGCTCATTTGACTTTCCATTGTGTTTGACGTAAGACGTTCTTGCCCCAAGCTCAATAGAGTCTACACGCGTTATTACGACTTGACGGAATGATCTTTCATTGTGCTATAGCCATTAGTATTGCTGGTGATCTCATCAGCGATCTTATAATATAATTTTACTTGTTCGCACAGGATCAATTTAGCAACGACGAAATGTGTATCTATTGAAGTAGCTCGGGTTGGCTAATTGATTTGGAGTGTGAAACTTTTTACACCGTATGTCTTTTGCAGCGCCCTGTATAGTCGGATACAGGTTCGATTTCACAATCCTAAGATCCTGATCGTGCAAGGGACCCATTCGACTTTCCATTTCGTTCGGTACCGCTGCTACGTTTATGTTTGTACCGTGATCTATTGAGCGCGTGCCGGTAATGGCTTCGATCATGAATTGTTCACACATTCGGATGTTTTTGGATTTTTATTGATTGATTAGAGTCACGACATGTAAATCAAATAGACTGTGGTATAATACCGGCTATTGAGATATGAGTAATGTAGGTATAGTAATAAATATCGTCATTGGCAAATATGTATATAGCGAAAGGATATATATATATATATGTATGATAAAAAAATTGTGTAATTATAAGTTGAATAATTGATTATATTTGGTAAAACATTTACAAGGTAATAAGATTTTTTTTTCATTTAACGTGTGTTACATTTACAGGCAAGGCATCCTCAAAGACCGTACCAACTCTACAGTAATCGTAATAATGTAATGTTATTTATAATAAAGTATGTACCATCAAATTATCTGTCTCGTTATTATTAATATTAATGTTATTATTATTACTATTATTATTTCTCAGGAACAAATACATGTTTTTTTTTTTTTTATCAATATACATCAATTCGCAATTATCATATAAACCGTAGAACTGTCCCGGTAGGGATCAAGGAATGGACACTTTCGAAATATATTCTTTTTTGCATAGAGAAAAAAGATCTCTCGAATATATCCAAATGTTTGTTTCTACAGAAAATCGATAGTTTGCGAAAAAAAAAAAGTAAATCCTCCCCATTTTTGTCTTACAATGAAAGTGTCCCATTTTTATTTCAACCCTTACTGTCGCCTGTCCCAGCACGTGGTCGTCCAGACCGACCAAGTTCAAATTTAAAAAAAAAAAGAAGAAAGGAACAGCATCGTTAGCACACGTTTTATTTATCACAGAGGTCAGCCCATCTTTTTTTTTTTTTTCTTCTAAGTCATCATCCGCAAAATTCTCAATTCCTATTAGAACATAAAAAAGAAACAGGTTGCGGCCGCACCTTGAACTTTTTTTCATTTTTAACACTGGGACGTTCCAAACGATCACGAGCATTGCGCCGGCGCATAATGAAAAGGGTCCTTATATCCGTACAAGTCGTTAATTCCTGGTTAATTGCTATGAATAAGATCGTGAAAGGTGGGAAGAATAGGGTGGGCTTGGTTAATGATACTGACGGTAATAATGACGGTACGTTAGTGATCCGTTAAGAAGCACGAAAACGAAGCCTTGATCGCGCACAAGAATTCTGGACCGGAAAACAAAGAAAGTTGGAATGAAGGAAATACTAACGATGAAGAAAACTACACAATCCGGACTAACGTCACGTTACGTTACAATAATCGACGTGGATGACTTTGTCTCTCGTTTAGGAATAACTTCCAAGATAATTCATACACTGAAATCCTACGGACACGACGTGTGGCTCCTTAGCGATTATCTCGTCGTTCGAAAGTGTCTCCTTCTTACCTGCTTTCTGGAAGCTTGAATTACTGGAGCGGAAGTGACGATTTTATTCTACATTGATTATTACGCGGCGTATAGGCGTATTATAAGATAGGACAGGAAAGTCATCCAAGGATATTTTTATCCTGAGGAAACGCATAATGGGATCGTTGATTAGATTGGAAAAGCAGTGGCCACTGTATGAGATCGAAGTACGGTACTCTGAGAAGGGTGAGAAGTATAATAAAGTATTTGGAGAAAAGGGCTTTAAGGAAGTCGAGAGACACACGCGTATTACGAGTAATTGAAAAATAACTGGCATTGCCGTCTGATTAATGTAATTTTATCAAAATTTCAATAAGCTATTGTACACGTGATAGCGCCAGCGTGACGGTAAACTGTATAGATGCTTATAAAGCCACTCGTCCAAACATTTCATATAGATAAGAGACAATGTATAACAAACATAAAATAATTAAAGAATTCTTTCGGAGAACAGAAATAACGAAAAACTTTTTTTTTCCCATCCACGATTAGTCATTAAAAATTCAAATTTATCTCCCTCCGTGCCCTTCCCTCCCCCAACAAACGAAAAAAAAAAAAAGTGGAATGTGTCTCCGCGTTTGTGAGTTCATCGTCGTCAATCGGTATCGGCATAAACATATTCTTTATATATTTTTCATATCTCTATATATATATTTATATATTCTCTCAGACGCTCTTCACCACTTTTCTTTTTTAATTCTCTCGCGTTAATCATCAATTATTCCCACGGTACACGCATCTCTGCAAGTTCACTCAAGCACTCACTCTGACTCATAATCGTACAATAGATAATCTCCAATCGCACCTCACGAAAAGCAACTTAATAATCGTTTCAATATTTATACGCACTTAGCTAGATAAATCTATGTACAAAACAACGATAAAAGTAAGAGTGCGAATCCGTGGAACGCGGATCCGAATAATAACGGATTCGATCGTACCGTGATCGTCCTGTTTCCTTTCCATTATAATATTTCCCTAAATAATAGATCGAAGAAAGTACAAGGAAGTAGTAATTAATAAGAAGAAAAACAAAAGGAAAAAGAAAAAATGACAAAAGAATAGAATAAACAAAATACGAGTCACCTGTTCCATCATTGTCAAAATCCACTCATGCTACTAATGATTTTCCTTTTCTATCGCGTTCGCTCATCATTCCGGACATTTCCCACAACATCGTACAATAAAATGATTTCAGGCGCTACAGAAACAGTGTTATCTCAACGATCTACCACTATATTATTATTTATCAGTATTCTTTGGTAACTCGGTGATGTATATGGAGACCATACATGTGTACGGACGCTGAACGATCACCCCTCCAAGATCGTTTGCGCAACCGGCATAAATAAAATAGTATGTAAACTCAAATATTATTCGATCGGTAATCATCGACAGATCGTGATCGTACAGCAACAACCGTATCTAATCATTGTGCCAAGTGTGAAATTATACATAAAAATCGTTCATTCCTCGCAGTACTGCCTCTATATACATATATATATCTTCACACGTGTGTATATATACACATATACAAGGTGACTCGAGTATTTATTTAAAAAGAAAAAAAAAAGTTTCTTTCGATCCTTCAATTTTTTTTTCTTTCTTTACATGTAATATACGTCTTGTCTCATCTTCGGCGTGTCAAAATGCGCTTTGTGCAATCGCACAGGAAAAAGAATCGGTACACTTTACACGTTTATATATATTTATATTATGTACACAGTATGACTTACTAACAAATGCATTGGCGTGCCACGGTTAAATAAATGATTGATCATCGATTTTTTGATTGATAGAAATAAATAGAAAAATTATTTTCCTATGCCATCTTTGACTTCCCATTTCGTTCTCTCACGCAGGAAACATTGGTTTACACCGTTTATATAATAGAGCAAAGGTATTCAGTAACAATGAAAACATATACTGAATCAATGTGATTATCGCGGCACGCCAGGAATCGTTTAAACTTCGTTTCTTGCCATTCGTAATGTCGTTAGGATTAATAGTTATCGTTTGAAAAATTTGTGCTGATCTAATATTAATGCCACGATAGATTTGTTTTTAAAAATACTAGTACTTTCGAACGTGAATAATTTTGTTTTGTATCGTCGACTGTCGTTCATTAACATTGTGATCACCAGACTCTCATTATACATACATACACAGTCATACATAACAGTAGACAGACGCCCTGTAGTTTTTATTCTCATTTCTTTCTATTTTGTGCTCAATCGCACAATATACCTATATATTTTTTTCTTTCTTGCTTCTCTTGCAATCTCCCACTCTCCGCCTTCTATCGAGTTTCTCCTTTCTTTCGCTTCGTCGGCCTTATCCATTATTAAGTAAATATTCATAGTTCCTCTCTATATACACCCTGTTTGAATAATTTCCTTAAATCGAAGGTCATTAATAATTATAACTTGCGAGCAGCCACATGACTTTACTCGCTTACTCTTCTCGCAATTTTCGCGTTTTCTATATATTTATGTATTTATATAATATTTTTATGGAATAACCTCGTGTAACTCTTACGAGTCTTAACAGAATTTACACTATTCCTTTGTTCTCTCTCAGTGCCTTTAAGCTTTGTAAAATTTAATTTTTTTTTATTTTTCAATTTCTTGCATTTTCCTTTATGATACTCGAAGCACTCTCAAAGACGCGCAGTTACGTTTCCAATTAGTTTCTATGAATTTTCATGTTCCACTGTCGTCTCCAGTTCCTGATCGATGGATTTCCTCATGGTCGTCTTAATAACAACTCACGATATATCTTGAATATGTAAGTGCCTGTGTGATATCGGACTGGCAGTCGCGCATACCGAAAGTACAAAATACGTTGCCAATGAGATCGGTAACTGGAAAATCCATCGATAAAAACTTCCAGCGAGAAAAAAAAAAAAAGAGTAACCGTACCGCTTAAGCCGAAAAGACAGTGTTCGCGCATGGCAATTGATAGACAGACAATTTTGCTCACGTTAAACAGCAAATTAAAAATCGTTAGAGATCGTTAAGGATTCTTACCGGTCTAACGAAATGCTTATAGGTAGATTGTACACGTATTTATATATGAGCCTGATGAATGAATCTGATCCGCTGAAGAAAGAACAATGGATACAAGGAATTTACAGGAAGCCAAGTGAATAAAAGCGAATACATTCTAACGATACTAAACAAAGCTATCCCATTTACCAACAGAGGGAAACGCAGTCTCCTAGCGTTTGTTGGTAATTCAAGAATCTTTAATGTGAACTTGAGATTATAAAAATCTCACGCAGTAGACCGGACAGAATCCCACATTACTTAAGGGAGATCACACACGGTCGATAAACTTTAATAATTACCGACCGAGATGCATTAGCCTTTCTGTACACTACATTCTCTATCTCCTCGGTCCAATTACGGTGGTTTGGGTAAGAACCCTAACTGTTGCATGGACGCGACGTACATGAGGTAATTCTAGGGCTGCTGGAGCAAAAGCTGTTCAAGTTCATCCGCAGATCTTAAGAGGAACGCCGCCGACTCCCTGTATCCGGTTATTAATTGCCTAACGGCGGTCATTTCCGTCGCATTTAATTTGTGGCTCAGCAACGGCTTCGTGTTCTTCATGCTGAGATCCGTGGGTCCTGAAAAGGAAAAAAAAGAAATAAATAAAAAACGTGGAAACTGAATTGTTAAGATCAGAGGAAAGGGTTGCGTTTACGCGCGTTGACAGACATGCTACTACGCTAAGTGATTTGGCAGTAGCATCAAAGGTGCTCGAGTACTATTGCAATGCCGTTGTAAATCTTCAGATTTTAGTGCAAGAGACATACGGAAGACCAACCGAGTGACATCAAAGAACTAAGCATTGTGCATTGTGCGCATTTAAGAAATAAAGAAACTTAAGAAAACACCAATAACCAATATTACTTTGTGTACCGTTGCTGAGGAGACCCGAGGTGAAGCTCTGAGTGGGATAAAGTCCAGCCGATAATGTTGGCGGCACAGCTGGCGGTCCAGCGCGTTGAAAAGCCTGACTAAAGTTCGGCCTATACATGGCTGTCGGTGCACCTCCACTCGCGACACCATTAACCGCTGATGAACTGACTATCGTCGCCTGACTGAAATTTATAATCGATTATAATATCATTAGTAAAATCGTTAATGAAAATTTAATGGAAAAAAATGACTTTTCTTTTCTACAGAATCATTGCACTATACCAACCTCATGAGACCCTTGTTATCCGTGGGAGTGAGTAGCTTAGATGCTGGCGCTAGTGATAATGGCGTCGAGGTAAGGGTGCTGCTCGGTAAATTTGAAAGACTGGTTAGAGGTGCCAGGGACGTTAATGGCGCAGGTGGGGTGTCCTCCCTCTTACCAGGCAGAGACTTCACCGGGGTGCTTGAGAAGTGCTCCAGACTCGCTCGTACGTCCGTTTGCTGAAACGAGGAAATATCGTCATTAGGCATTAGGGACGTTGGATATGCGTTTTTAATCAAAGAAGGAAAAAGCAGGTTAAAAATACATTTGCATCAATCCAGCATGGTTTCTGTTTATTATATGAGAAATTGAAACTACGTACACTGAATACGTTCTGTTTTGTACAAAACAAGTAAACCACACGATATACCCACTGTAAACACCAATATAGGGGTATTACTCAATGAGAAGTTTATCGCGACGCAACATTTTTACTCGCTTCGCTCTAGTAAATGCGTCTCATTTCACGAATGGTTTTATCGTCATGGCGGAACCAGAGACCTAGTCTAACATGGCGGAGAAATCAGAGACTCAGCCTCCCTTATATATTTCAGCGTCGTGATTTTTCCTTCTGGTCATTCCGCTTCCTACCTTTTTTCCTAGTTCTACCTTCGTACCCTGTCGGATGGGAGCATCAAAGTGCACAGGAGGAAGGAAAAACGGGGGAAGGAAGAGAGAAAAGTGCAATTGAAGAATCTAGAGAAACGATCGAAAGCAGTAAGGAATATCGACACGGTATACTATCGATAGAAACTGTCTTTAAGCTGACGTTAAGTCATCTAGCCACGTGTATGTATATATATATATACGTATATAGATACCTGTTGAGCGATCTGATTGTGATCGTACACTTCTTTGCGAATGACCCTGAGATTTTTCTTCCTCATGATTAAGTCAAGTGGATTGAAGTTTACCACATGCGACTCGACGACAAAGCCAAGCTCATTACTTGTCGATCATCGATATACACGAGTCGTTCACTTGAAACTTTCACCACAGGACCAATCCTCGCATCCCCACTGACTTCTCTCACTCGCAGCCGAATTTTTCACCCTGGGATCACCGAATGATCGCACACTCGCTACGTACGAGTATCACAGACTGACAAGAACTAGCGTGACATCTTCCTTGGAATTTCCCAGAAGTCCCTCCTCTCCACGCGTCCCTTCTCCCCACTGTTCCATCTATTTCTTCATCCTGATACGATCACCTCTCATCTTTTCCTCCTTCGAAATCTTTTCTTCCTCCGGTAAACTCGTTCTCGGAGCAACACGATGAGGACGACGTCGTCGCCGAGAGGAACGCACGGGTCCACCAACGAGACAGAATGGTGGATGCTCGGGGTCTTAGGTAGGAGAGAGAGAGAGAGAGAGACGATAAGGGGACACGTGTGACGGAGTGAGACAGTAGATGGCACCAGACCTATTTACCAGGCGTAGGAGTGGGAGGCTGCCGAAGAAGAGGAAGATGAGGACCGGCGAGTGGCGAGAACTCTGAGAGCCAGATGTGCGAGCGTGTAAAGTCGACGCGTGAGTAAGTTCATCGGGAATTCAGAAAAGGGAGGGCGCCCAACGAGGAGGAGGTGGCGATGCCACGAGGAGGTCGCTGCTGAAGGAGGATCGCGGCCGGAGTGGAATACAGGGAGGATAAAATCTTGGAGCGGATGTAGGGAGGTGTTTTTATGAAAGGCAAGCAGTGTGCGTTGACGTCAATTATATAGGTGGCACGGGAGATAGCCGGCTACGGACTGCGTAGAGGTCTCTTTAATGGGTTAGGTTTAGGTCGACAGAGGTTATCAGCTCCCGGAGGGATTTTCAAAGTAGATAACGAAACGAGAAGAGGCTTCGCGTGCGACACTTTGTCTAACCAAGATTCTCACAATGATCCCTTTCTTATCCGTAAGGAGCACATACGAGACACGTGAATCTATGCTCGCGTGAGATCTGCAAAAATCTTACCTACAAATATCACTTAAAAAGGATACCGATTACGTTGATAAGTATCTTATCGCCCGTTACGTATCCCAGAATGGATTCCGGATACGGTGTAACGTTAATACGTTCGTTTCAACCTAATTCCTTGTTAAGACGTATATCCACTTTTTGTCTGCACGATAACTCCGTGTCGTACGTGCGTGCACATCCATATAGGGGAATTACGATTATTTCGCCGAGAAATGGTTTTTCCTCGTGTTATCGTATAGTTTCAGGGCTTTCATTCTCATTGCTACGATGGATGTGAATTCCACGAATCTACAGACAGCCAAACGAGCACGTTCGTTTCACGCTCGGTGTGTGCGTAGCTTTATGGAGTGGGAGAGGTGCGCGACCCACGGGTTATCACTGGTCTCTCTTCGGTACCTATATCAATCCTAGCTACGTTTACGTATGTATTTCACTTTGAATCGTTATGCAGGAGTTTCACACGTTAATGTGGATTTTCATATGCGAGATATCTCGGTGCATACATATACATATATACGTCATGTCGTCGCATATAATGCATACTGCGCATTCGACAAGCGAATGAGGGTTTATATTTTCCCGGATTGTTGCTGGCTCATTTTTTCGAGTATATGTGAAAAATTTTTTATCTTACGAGTATAGGCCCCTTTTCGGTCGGTACTTTTCGTTCAGGATGTATTGATAAATTTTTTCCTAGAATATCACGTGCTTATGTGATATGTATGGGAAGAGGGTGGGGGGGGAAAGAGGTGTTTATTTCTTTATCGTTTAACTCAGAGTGCCAATTAACTCACCGTGGCGGCCGGAAGTGTAGGCATCGGCTCAGAAACTGGTTCCAGGCCGAGCCTCATACGCTTCGCATTGTTACTCTCATTTTCGCAGGCTGATGCCAAAATTTGCTCGGCCTGCACCGAGGTCAAGTGAGCTGGCGTTGGTCTGGCCTATAAAAAAAGTAGAGAGAGATGCACTCATCATACAAGGCTATACAGTCCATTCACGAAACAAATGTATTTTCAAGATGGCCATTCATTATCGTCAATCCCGTACGAAAGAGTAGCCTGAGCTACTGGCCCCCCTGAGCCTGAAATTTTGTTTGTCGGGATTGTACAAGGGAATACACTTGATTCAGTGTTCGGGAATGTCAAAGATTTCTCGGGAAGGCGCGGCGCCAAATTTAAACTGAATGTCCGCCTATTTAAATCGGATGACTAAATTGTCTGCGCTGGACCGCAGCGACAGAGATAGGACTATTTTTTAAAAGAAATTTTGACAATTCATCAAGATTGGACACTTTTTTTTATATATTCCCCAGGATTACGAAAAATGCGAAGGACTTGTGGGTGTATCTTGTTGGAGGTATTAAAAAAAAAAAAAAAAAAAAAAAA